TGGGGGAAGGGAACGAGACAACCCCAGTCCCTCCCAGTCAATTATGGGGGTTATGGCCCCGCAACCAAGGGAGCCCCATAATGACTGGGAAAAGGGGTGATGCAATAAGCATCCAGGCGGAGGAGTTCCCGGTGCTGAACCCGGCAATGGAAGATTCCACAATGGAAGGGGTCTCCTGGTTAACCACCCCTGGGACTTTATCCTGGGAACCATCAGCCAAAAAGATGTGAAACCCCTTCTCCTTTGGGCGAGGGGAATAACCCTGCTGGTGAGCAAAATTGATATCCACAAAACAGCTGCATGCCCCCGAATCAACTATGGCCGTCACCTCCACGTCCTTTCTGAAAGCTGAAAGGAGAGGGGAACAACTAAGTACTGAGAACGGGTTCATATTTGCCAACAGATAAAGAAGATGAGGTGAACTTACTCAGTTTCTTTTCTGCGGGCAGGAAACGCACCATGTTGACCAGCTTCGCCGCAGTACAGGCACAGATTCTGGGAGCGTCTGCACTCGCGCGTTCCTCAGGCGATAGTTTAGGCCGAGCCAGGCCTAGCTGCATGGGTTCGGGAGCATCTTCAAATGGCAGGTTCTGGGTGCTTGGCCTAGTATGTTGACTGGATCCCTGAAATGACCCCCAGGGATTTCCGCGACCCTGACCAGACCTCTCTCAATCTGCGCTCTTACGCCCCCCGTAGTCTACGGGTCAATTTTGATGGTGAGTGCAATCAGGTCCTCTAATGTCTCGGGCACCTCCACCCGGGCGAGCTCGTCTTTCAGAGCCTCTGATAGGCCCATACGAAAACTGGTGCAAGAGTGCGAACTCGTTCCAACGAGTGTCACCCATCCAGCGCCTAAAGTCAGAGGCGTATTCCTCAGCCGCCCGCCGACCTTAGTCGGAGTGCGTATAATGTGGCCTCGGCCGAGGCTGCCCGTTGTGGGTCATCATATAAGATGGCCATAGCGTTAAAGAAGCCGTCGACCGTAACCAGGTGAGGGTCATTGTTTCCCCTTAGTCGGTGGGCCCAGTCCTTGGGTTCACCCTGCAACAGGGAGAGACAACAAACCCCACTTTCACTGATTCCGTCAAAAAGGTCCGTGGCTGCAGTTCAAAAATAGAGCAGACAGGAGTCACGGAATGACCGAAAGCGTGTGCGATCCCCATGGAAGCGCTCGGGTAAGGGTACTCGGGTTCCGCCATAGGGAGTGATGTGGGAGGCCCAGGAGTCGGCTCATGAACTGCTGCGACCGGACGGTGGTGCAGGAGCCGGGGCATGTGAAACAGGAACAGATATGGTGCAGGCCTGAAACCGATTCTCGATCTGCAGACATCTGTCCCTGTAATGTGTTTACAGCTTGCGTCAGGGTAGCCAGGTGCCTGCAAACCTCGTCCCAACGGGAGAGTCCTCCTCGAGGCTCAGTCATGGCCTTCTGGTACTGTGAGGGACCGCCGAGCGGCACACTAGCAACTCCACTGGTCAGCGTGCCCAGAGCGCGGAGTCTAAGCCCCAGGGTACTTGTTCACCAGGGGCCCCTGATGGTGGGATGGACTTGTAGTACCCCGAGACCAGGTCGCCTCTACTGAGCACACCTGTCAGTGGTAGTGGTGTTCGCCAGGGGCTCTCCAACCAGGGAGAGCCAGATGTGAGGAGGTCGGGTGACCCCGATGGGATGGATGATGGATGGCTGAGCAAGTGCGTAGTCAGACAGGCCGAGTCGGTATTGTAGAGGACGGTAAGGTACAAGGGAGCAGGCAGAGAATCGTCGGGTCACACGCCAGGTCAGCAGCAGGAGGTCAGATCTAATAAGGGGCATCCAGGGAGAGAGGTCAGGCAAGCAAGGGTCTGGCAGGAGAAATCAGCAAGGTCAAAGGCAATCCGGGTCAATAACTTACTAGGGCACAGGTACAGGAACACAGGAAGCCAGGTAAGACCAGAAGGCAACGAAATGACAGCTCAGGGACCTTTAAATATCCCGCCCTGCGCTGCCATTGGTGCCCAGCGGGCGGCCCGCGGCTTCTACTGCGCATGCGCGAACTCGAACGCCGCCGGCCGGCCCCGGACCTAGTGCCCGTGCGCTGGGTGGAGCAGTGCGCCTGCGCCGAGCCCATCGCGGCGGGGATCGAGGAGATCCCTGACAGCTGGACAGCTCCCTTGACAATTATTTTTGACTGATCCTGCCTTGACCTTGTTTGTCATGAACCTTGAACCCTTTGTTCCTTCCATGAACTTCCTTATATAAGCCATGTCTCTGCACTTCCTGTTCGCCAGATTATTGTACTCTCTGCAGCCAGTATCTCGCTTCAATCTGTGCCTTCCTCTGCTGTCATCCATATTTTGCTACCACGCATTATTGACCCTAGGCCTGTTCCTTAACTATGCTTCTGTCTGATCCCAACCTGTGACTGCTCATTACACTGTTCAACAGGTAAAAAATTTTGGGCATAAAATTAGCTAATCTTACAAATAATTTTTGGGGTGCTGAAAACGAAAATGACCCTAAAAAATGTTGATTGGCTCTAGTTTCCATGATATATTCACCCATCTAATGACGTAACCCATTCAAATTATGATGCAACTTCAGCTGCATATTGCGCAATTGATACTGGTGACCAATAGAAAAATTGCATGTATACTGAGATGATGCAATATTCGCCTTTAATTGCATCACTTCACTGCATAAAAGCTGCAGTATCTGTAGCTGATTGTAGTTCGACAGCGTCTTTACATTTCGTTTTATGCTTATATAGGCTACTCAGTAATGCCTCGAACTTGTGTGAATAAAGCAGATAATTTCTGCTATATCTGCGGTGAAATAACTTTTATCTCACAAAAAAGGAGGATAACAGGAATGATTAAGAAAGCCTACAACTTGTATTTTGGCTGCAAGATAGGAGACCAGGACAAGAGCTGGGCACCACATATATGCTGCAATTCTTGTGGGACGGCACTGGAGCAATGGTTGAATGGAAAAAAGGCATCTATGCCTTTCGCTGTGCCAATGATTTGGAGAGAGCCAACAGATCATGTTCGTAATTGTTACTTTTGTATGGTGCCTCCAACAAAAGGGCTAAATAAGAAGAAAAAGTTATCTGTGCACTATCCAAATATTCCATTCCGCAATACGTCCAGATTTCCTCATGGAGAGGGCTACCAATCCTAAAGCACCAGAATCCTTCGTGGTTGAGTCAAGTGAGGAAGAACCTGAAGCGTGTAGTCATAAACCGTCAACCTCACATGACCCAGACTTTCTTCCATCCACACTGTTAGGAATGGACTGGCCAGCAATGGTGGGACTCACCTGCCTTTTGAATCTGCAGTACCAGGGCTGGCCAGCGGGTGCTCCCAGCAATCAGAGACTCAACCTTTCAGCCAGCTAACACCTGGAACTGATGATACTGGTGATATTTAAAGGGATGGCCAGACTTGCAGACTCTGCCTTGGTGTTGTGTTTGTCCTGGGCCCTGTATCTGTCCTGCATCCTGTTTCTGTTCCTTTGCTGACTTCTCCTGCTCTGATCCTGGCTTGTGACCCTGACCATCCCTCTGTCTGACCCTCTGTACTACGCTGCTTTGCTACCTGTTCTGATCCCTGGCTTGTGACCCGGACCATCCCTCTGCCTGACCCTCTGTAACTATGCTGCTTGCTACCTGCTGAACCTGGCCTGTGACCCCGACCATTCTCCGCTTGCTCCCCCTGTACCTACCTGCCCAATTGATATTGACCCCGGCCTGCCTGACGACGCTTGCTTGTATGTACTGTTATCTGTGGGGTGGTTTGGTTTGGTTGTTTGCACTGTATTATGTTTTAGTATTTCACTGCGTTTATGTTTGTACTGTTAGTGTTTAATAAATTATATTGTTTATAACATATCTGAGGTCTGCGTTTCCCTGCTTCAGTCACACACCTCTGGTCATACCTGGGAGCCCTGACATTACACCAAGGCCAATCCTGACCAGAAGTGGCTGCACAGGGAAGCCATCTTGGCTTGTTGATGGGAAGGATGGATCTTGATGAGGTTGAGTATTTTATATCTGCTAGTGTTTGATGACAGGGAGTATGCTTATCAAACTCTGAAGGAGTATACCCGGGATGAATTGCTAGAATGTATACGGCTCGCTCATGTTCTAGTAGATCAGGGCACAGTGTTCTCTGAGGTGCAGCCATTGATTGAGGTTTGTGCAGAGTTGGTTTCATCTGGTTCCCCCGAATGCAGGGATGAATTTTTGCCACCATTTAGTGCAGACCAGGTAGAGTCCCTGGTGTGGTTATTAGAGGATGATGTGGGTTACTTTCTGGAGCGTTATTCCACATGTTCACCACAGACACTGAGAGATTGTATAAACGCAGTGCAGTCATTGACCAGACAGGCTTTGTGTAAGCTCAGCTTTGTTCAACCCTACTGCAGACATGGACAGATTTGTTGCACCCAGCCTCAGTCAGCTTACAAAAACCCAGTCCTGCTTCTAACTCTACTCCTGTATTCCCACCAGCTCCTCCAGTTACAGCCCAGTATACTTGGCTATCTACCGCATGTCAGTACCCTGTTCCCACTCGCTGCACCTATCCTGCCTTTAACCCTGTAAAAAAGCCCTCTGTAGCAACTGCTCCCTCTCCTGTTCCATCCTCCAGTTCTTCTCTGTCTCCAGCTGCTCCATTCGTTTGCAGACCTGCGTTTACTTGCAGTGCTCCAGTAGTTAAAACCAAAAAAAAGCGAAAATTCTTTCCAACCAATACCATCCTGCCAGTATCCAAACCGGTGAGCCTGCCTTCCGTGGTTCAGACTGATGCCTGTACGCAGCCTGATGCCTCTACTCGGCCTGAAGCCTCTACTCGGCCTGAAGCCTCTACTCGGCCTGATGCCTCTCCTCGGCCTGAAGCCTCTCCTCGGCCTGATGCCTCTACTCGGCCTGATGCCTCTACTCGGCCTGAAACCTCTACGCGGCCTGAAGCCTCTCCTCGGCCTGAAGCCTCTCCTCGGCCTGAAGCCTCTACTCGGCCTGATGCCTGTACTCGGCCTGATGCCTGTACTCGGCCTGATGCCTGTACTCGGCCTGATGCCTGTACTCGGCCTGATGCCTGCCTCTACTCGGCCTGATGCCTCTACTTCGGCCTGAAGCCTCTACTCGGCCTGATGCCTCTACTCGGCCTGAAGCCTCTACTCGGCCTAATGCCTCTACCCAGCATGATGAACTGATCCAGCCTGACGATCCTATTAGGCCAGTTGACTCGATGCCCGCTGTTGATCCAGATGATCCGGTACCTGATCCGGTGCCCGCTGTCGTGCCAATTGACTCAGAGCCCGCTGTCGTACCTGGTGACTCGGTGCCCACTGCCTTGCCAGATGACGCGGTGCCCGCTGGCAAGCCAAATGACCTGATGCCTGGTGACCTAGTGTCCGCTGTCATACCTGATGACCCGATGCCCGCTGTCGAGCCAGACAATCCGGTACCTGATGACCCGGTGCCCACTGTCGTGCCTGTTGACTCGGAGCCCACTGCCTTGCCAGATGACGCGGTGCTCGCTGTCGAGCCAAATGACTTGATGCCTGGTGACCCGATGCCCGCTGTCCAGTCAGACGATCCAATGTCTGACCCAGTGCCCGCGGTCATACCAGTTGACTCGGAGCCCACTGCCTTGCCAGATGACGCGGTGCCCGCGGTCGAGCCAAATGACCTGATGCCTGGTGACCCGATGCCCGCTGTCCGGTCAGACGATCCAATGTCTGACCCAGTGCCCGCGGTCATACCAGTTGACTCGGAGCCCACTGCCTTGCCAGATGACGCGGTGCCCGCTGTCGAGCCAAATGACCTGATGCCTGGTGACCCGATGCCCGCTGTCCAGCCAGACCATCCAATGTCTGACCCAGTGCCTGCGGTCATACCAGTTGACTCGGAGCCCACTGTCGTGCCTGGTGACTCGGTGCCCGCCGCTCCGCCTGGGGGCCCGAGACCTGTGTTGCTCCGCTTGGGGGTCCAGCGCCCGCCGCTCCGCCTGGGGATCCGGCGCCCGCCGCCCCGCCTGAGGGACCTGTCGAGACCTGCCCAGACCTGTCGCTCCGCCTGGGGGTCCGGCGCCCGCCGCTCTCCGCCTTGAGGGCCCGAGACCTGTCGCTCCGCCTGGGGGTCCGGCGCCTGCCGCTCCGCCTGAGGGCCCGAGACCTGTCGCTCCACCTGGGGGTCCGGCGCCCGCCGCCGCCCGCCTGAGGGCCCGAGACCTGTCGCTCCGCCTGGGGGTCCGGCGCCCGCCGCTCCGCCTGAGGGCCCGAGACCTGTCGCTCCGCTCCTGGGGGTCCGGCGCCCGCCGCTCCGCCTGAGGGCCCGAGACCTGTCGCTCCACCTGGGGGTCCGGCGCCCGCCGCTCCGCCTGAGGGCCCGAGACCTGTCGCTCCATCTGGGGGTCCGGCGCCCGCCGCTCCGCCTGAGGGCCCGAGACCTGTCGCTCCTCCTGGGGGTCCGGCGCCCGCTGCTCCGCCCGCCTGAGGGCCCGAGACCTGTCGCTCCGCCTGGGGGTCCGGCGCCTGCCGCTCCGCCTGAGGGCCCGAGACCTGTCGCTCCTCCTGGGGGTCCGGCGCCCGCCGCTCCGCCTGAGGGCCCGAGACCTGTCGCTCCGCCTGGGGGTCCGGCGCCCGCCGCCCGCCTGAGGGCCCGAGACCTGTCGCTCCGCCTGGGGGTCCGGTCCGGCGCCCGCCGCTCCGCCTGGGGGCCCGAGACCTGTCGCTCCGCCGCCTGGGGTCCGGCGCCCGCCGCTCCGCCTGGGGGCACGATGCCTGTCGCCCCGCCTGGGGGCACGGTGCCTGTCGCCCCCCTCCGGGGGGGCCCGGTGCCTGCCGCTCCGCCCGGGGGCCCGGTGCCTGCCGCTCCGCCCGGGGGCCCGGTGCCTGTCGCCCCGCCCGGGGGCCCGGTGCCTGTCGCCCCCCGCCCGGGGGCCCGGTGCCTGTCGCCCCGCCCGGGGGCCCGGTGCCTGCCGCCCCGCCCGGGGGCCCGGTGCCCTGCCGATCCGCCCGGGGGCCCGGTGCCTGCTGCTCCACCTGGTGGCCCGCTGCCTGCCTGCTTCGCCTGGTCCTGCCCGATGTGCCTCTGCCCGGAGTCCTGCCCGATGTGCCTCTGCCCGGAGTCCTGCCCGATGTGCCTCTGCCCGGAGTCCTGCCCGATGTGCCTCTGCCCCCGCCCGATGTGCCTCTGCCCGGAGTCCTGCTGCCCGATGTGCCTCTGCCCGGAGTCCTGCCCGATGTGCCTCTGCCCGATGTGCCTCTGCCCGATGTGCCTCTGCCCGGTGTGCCCTCTGCCCGTGAGTCCAGCCCGGTGTGCCGCTGCCCGGAGTCCTGCCCGGTGTGCCAGTCTTTGATATCCCGCCAGTTGCCAGACCCGGGCGGTGGAACATTTTGCCCAGCTAGGACTGTTTGGAGCGTCCTGAGGCCGCTCCTTGAGGGGGGGGTACTGTTAGGAATGGACTGGCCAGCAATGGTGGGACTCACCTGCCTTTTGATCTGCAGTACCAGGGCTGGCCAGCGGGTGCTCCCAGCAATCAGAGACTCAACCTTTCAGCCAGCTAACACCTGGAACTGATGATACTGGTGTATTTAAGGGATGGCCAGACTTGCAGACTCTGCCTTGGTGTTGTGTGTTTGTCCTGGGCCCTGTATCTGTCCTGCATCCTGTTTCTGTTCCTTTGCTGACTTCTCCTGCTCTGATCCTGGCTTGTGACCCTGACCATCCCTCTGTCTGACCCTCTGTACTACGCTGCTTGCTACCTGTTCTGATCCCTGGCTTGTGACCCGGACCATCCCTCTGCCTGACCCTCTGTACTATGCTGCTTGCTACCTGCTGAACCTGGCCTGTGACCCCGACCATTCTCCGCTTGCTCCCCCTGTACCTACCTGCCCAATTGATATTGACCCGGCCTGCCTGACGACGCTTGCTTGTATGTACTGTTATCTGTGGGTGGTTTGGTTTGGTTTGTTTGCACTGTATTATGTTTTAGTATTTGCACTGCGTTTATGTTTGTACTGTTAGTGTTAATAAATTATATTGTTTATAACATATCTGAGGTCTGCGTTTCCCTGCTTCAGTCACACACCTCTGGTCTTTTGGGGTCAAGACTACAACAGTGGAATCTCCTAGCAAGTGATGTTCGTACGTCTTTCTACCGTCATCGTCAGAAAGATCTGATCCCATTCTTCGTCCAGGAAGGTGATATTGCTGTATGTAACAATGTTCATGGTTTTTAAATCTCAGCCATCGGCATATGCTATGATCCTGATGAGTGGAGGCTGTTCATTGATGCTTCAAAGGCGAGTCTTAAAGCTGTTTTGCTCCATAATGGCAATCAGCTGCTGTCAGTTACAGTTGCTTACGCAGTTTCAATGAAAGAAACGTATGAAAAACTTGAAAGAGCTTTTAAGGTGCATCAACTATGATGAACAACAATGGTCGATTTGTGGTGACCTGAAGGTGATTGCTATCCTACTTGGACTTCAAGGTGGATATACTAAGTACTGCTGCTTCCTCTGTGAGTGGGACAGTCGTGCGAGAGAAATGCAACTATGCCAAAAGAGAAAATGTTAACTATCCAGCCTTGTAACAGCAATAAGAAACTTATTACCTCCATTACACATCAAATT